CCCTCCCCTTGTCAGCCCCCAGCCCGCAGCTGTTTCCTTCTGCCAGCCTTTTTGAACTCTGGTTCTTTTCCCTTGGTCGCCTCGCTCCCATTTCCCTACCCTGTGCTCTCTCAATTCCTCGTCCTTTATCCTCAGCCACCCGGCTTTTCCCCTCTTCTTTTCACCCACGATTCCTTCTTGACTTAAGATGACTTGTCTTCCTTACCCTCGTCCATGTCAACTCTGAAACCCGAAAACGACCCTTTATCTTTTTGCCTCGTGGCATATCAAAGACTGCAATCCTTAAAAAGTCTTCAGCGGCAAAGGAACGGGACGCGGGACCTTCTCTCCAGACACCCTCGAGCCCAGAACCAAGCTGCACCAGCCACCATAACTACTATTTAGCCCCACTGGAAAGGAGGCAGAGAGGCACCGGAGCAAACTTCAGCGGTTTCAGAGGATCCGTGGTTCCCGAATTCACAGGAGCCGCGTGCCAGAAGGCGAAAGACCCGGTGGGGAACGAGGAGGAGACGCGCGCCTCCCTCGCCCCCTCCGCGAGGTCTGAGCCGTGGACTGAGTGGCGCGGGACAGCAGCGCCGGAGGCGGCTGGGGAAGATGCGGGGCTCAGGGCCCCCGGGTGCGGGACGCCGGAGGCCCTCGAGCGGCGGCGGCAGCGGCGACCCACCCTGCACTTCTGCGTCTTTGGCCGGTTGCTACTCCGCGCCCCGCAGGGCCCCCCTCTGGACGTGCCTTCTTCTGTGCGCAGCTCTCCGGACCCTCCTGGCCAGCCCCAGCAATGAAGGTAGCGCCGTGGGGGTGGGGGCCGCGGCGACCTGGGCGGATGGGTGAGGCGGGGCCTGGGAGTGCAGGTCGGGGCGTGCTGGATGCTGCTGCCGCGGACGAAATCTCGCGCCTCGTCCGGAATTAATATTTGTCGCCCGCGTTCTCTGGCCTTTTCGCGCGCGCTCTGCTCTCTCTGGTTGCATTGTTTGACACTAGCAGCCAGGGCTGGGCGAGCAACCTCCATGTGGACAGAAGCTGGCTGGGGGGGCTGGGAAGTTAGAAGCTAGGGGGTATTAGGGGTCTGAGACCTGCTCCGGGAGGGTGGGTGCGGCTGGGTCTCGCTGGAAGCGTGTAGGGAAGTGACATTTCGGTCTGAAAGGAGTAGCGACTGCCCGAAGCGCAAGGGTCGGGATCTCCGGAGCGGTGGAGCTTTCAGAAACCGTTATTTGAGGCTGGTGGTGGGAAACATTGTGGGGGTGGCTGGATGCTTTTATTTTGGGGGAAAGTGCCTTCTGGGAGTTGTTATTTAGGGCATCACCAGATGCTATTCTGGGGTGAGTGACGAGAGCTATTATTTCTCGAGGGAGGAGGATGGCGAAGGAGAAAAGGCGCCCCACACTGTGGGGTGCCCTTCACTTTGTGGGGCTCGTAATCACACTAAGACGAAAGTGGAAGAAGGCGGGAAGGTGGGATGCCACGGGAGGTGGAGGTGGGGGTAGTGCCACTGCCTGGAAGTTGTTGCCGTCTCCCGGTTGCAATAGGGAAACAGCCCTCCTGCCGGCACCGATCCTAGAGTCCCCAACCTTCTTCCCCACCCCCAATTCTGCGCTCGGAACACAGCCCACTGTCTCGGCTGTCACTGGGAGAGTAGGGCCGAGCGCTGGAGCAGCACCTGTGAGGTTCGGAGAGCTCCGGGAGCGGAGCTTCGCCCTCTCCCGCCTGCGCTCTGCTGGTAGCCCTCGGCCTCCGTGTGCTCACCCTCCCGGCCCCTCCTCGCGCACCCGGACTGCGCTCTGGTCTCTGCTCAAGGGCGCATTCCTTAGGGGTGGGGGGACAGCATCTTAGATCTCGATCCCGGCTGCGGGAGGCGATCAGCTCCACTACGTAAACATCAAAAACCTTATGCCCTCAGCTGGAAGGCTTGGTGCCTTTGGGGCGCTCGGTGTCTTAAGTGATGCACAAAACCTTCAAAAAAAATTCCCTCCACTCCTGGGGCAGGGTCAGCTGGACCGGAAAGATGAAGCAGCCGCGGCGGAGTCGTGTGTGTTCGCATGACTTGCGCGGGTAGCGTCTTGGCCACGGGAGAAGGCGCTGAGCTGGTTTCAGAGCTTTGCCAGCTCGCTATGAACCCTGTGAAAGCAGGGCAGATCCAGATTCCCCACCTCACGCCATGAACTTCTTTAATCCCTAAATTTATTGTTTAATGTGATTTAAGGATTGCATGCAGTTCATTCACATACTTAACCTTCCCTCCCTTCACACACATACATATATGTATATACATGTATACATGTATATGTATAGATACATTTTCCATGCATAAACCCGGTAAGTTGAAAGTGTTTTCTGAAGTCATAGTCCTTTAACATCTCTTGTTAAATTTGTTGTGTTAGAAGTGTGGAGTATTATGACAGACTTAGGAGTCCTTTTATTAACTGTCCTGTTTCATGGAAAGGGAAGCATGTTTTTATTTCAACACTAATAGTGACATATATGTATCATTTCATGTTCTTCTTCTTTCATTTTACCCCCTAAGGTATGTTGTGTAAAGGAGGCTTATGTGGAGGTGTAAAAAGTAGTAGTCTTGGTTAGAGAATGAAAAGAGATGAAGTCTTTGGGAGGGTGATACTGAATGAGTACAGAGAACAAGGCTGTTCAGGAAGAAATAAAAGATAAAAGGAAACATGGAAGCAAGGAAATAACACCAGTCTGATCCTGGAAAGTGTTGTAAGCAGAGTCTGTATCTTGTAGAACATAGCCTTGATTTTACAGACTTAACACCCACAGGTTGTATTTTCCTAACCCCAGCTAGTGAAATACATCAAAATTTAGTTATAATGAGAAGGAGTTGCAAAAATCTAACCCAACAATTGTGGTGTTTTACTACTCAGTGCTCTGAAAACTAAACATAAAAGCTTGTTTATATCTGGGCACATTTTGGAACATAGTACTATTTTATATAAATAGAAAATATATTAATATCTATGACATTATCTCACTCACCCTATCTCTGGCAAACAAAGTTTTGCTCTTTTCATCAACATTATTCCAGAGCTTTAATTTTGTTTTGTAAAATTCATGTCCTTAGCTTCATTTTGATTTTCTGTGATAGTGCTATTATAAACTGATCAGAGATAATTTAATAATAAGATATTAATAACAGCAATCAATCTAAGTATCAAATTAGAATTTTTTTTGTATGTTTTTGATGGTTTCTTGAGGGACTTGGAAGATAAGGAACTGAAGGATTAAATGCATGTGTTGTATTTATTAATAACTTTCTCTCATATACTGTGCTTCCTGTGCCTATTAAATGCTTAGCCATTTCTCAAACTATAGTTTAAATATGTCTTATATAAGTGTACAATATGAATGTTCTCATTATGAAAGAGAAAAAAATTAAGGTAGAAATAATTGTGAGTTTATATTAGTAAGGGATATTGTACTCATTTAAAAAAAATATAGTTTAAGTATGCAGAAAAACAATGAGGGGAAGCCAAGCATGTATATCTAGTAGCTTGAATTTATATAAAATGAAAATCAGCATGTGTTGGGTAATGGACAATAAGAAGAAAACTTACTTTTTAGCTTGAATCTAGGATTTAAAAAATTAAGTTGTTCCATTGCATGCATTAGGCATAAATTACACATGGATGAAACCTTTCAACTATAGTTAAATACACACAACATTATAAAATAACATAGGGACATGTTTAGCAAAAAATTTTGTCTAAGATGATCAGGTAGTGCAAATGTAGGCAAGTGTATCAACAAGTGAAAATTTTAATAGATTTAATATGTAAAAGGGGCATGTCCACTGTTATGAATATTGGAGGTGGCCCTGAACTTATTCAGTAACTGCCACTTTTTGCTGTCTGGAGATATATTTGTAAACAAGCGTTATTTGACAAGTGCTTTTCGCAGCAGGGATTCTTGGCCAATTACTGCTGAACAGCTCTGCATTGAAAATGATTCACCCGCAGTGAATCAAGCTTAATTCATTGAAGCTACAGCCAGTAATGTCCCAGTAAAGTGCTTTTGACAGTTGTCAGCAGTTTGTGTTTTGGAAAGTCCAGTTTCTTGTCCCTGAATGTTTTGTATGTTTGAGAAAGTGGAATGGATTGGTTTTGGGGAGGAAAACAATCCCCCAAAGAGGAATATGTAAAGAGAAAAGTTATGGGCTAAATTGTTTGAAAACAATCATAAAACTGTAACTGTTTTCAGTAAAAAAAAAAAAGGAAGAGTTTGTTTTAGGGTTTTTGGTGTATAATAGGACCAGGCCCATAAAACAGATTGGAACACATAATAGATTTGTAAAACTAAATGACTTTGTTTTGTGACCTTGTCATCCTGTAGTATTTCATTTCCTTTTAGAGGAAGCAGCAGGACCCCACAGAAAAGGGACAGTAAAATCATTCCCTCACCAGGACACTACTGAACACAAAAAGAGAGCCATTACCCCTATTTGAATCATAGATTGTTGAACTAGAATGGGCCATAAATAGTTTGGCTTTTTGCTTTAAAAGTGACTGAGGGTTAGGTCTTGATGTGTTAGGTTTTACTTGAGGTACACAGAGATCTTGGTTTTCTGGTGCTTGGATGACAGGTAAGAGGATTTTATTTAGGATAGACAAGTCTTGTATTTACCATAGAAATTTTTCCTTTGATTGAAAATGCTCTTGTAATATCATCACTTGTAAATGTTATTAATTCTGTATTTCAATAGGATGTGGTAGTTATGGGAAAGGTTTCATTTTCTAGACTTAGAAATGTATTACTATTTAAATTATTAATATTCTGCTGTACAAAATGTGGTCACCTACAATACTTCTGTATAAAATATAAAATCTAGATGGTGTAACTATTTTTGAACATTCCCAATGGTTTAATGAAATATTAGAAACTATTCACTGTCACTGATGTTGAGAAAATGATTATGCATTAGTAATTTTCACTATATTTTTGCTGGTTGAGTTGACCATTTGAGCCTTTTGGGAGTGCTCAGTGTTTGTTTCCTTGATGTATTTGCTTGAAAATATTTAATTTTTTTGTCCTTCACTTGAAAGACTATAAAATAAAGACTATAAAAATAGCTTATAATGTGTATGCTAACTAACTAGCAATTTTTTTCTGATGAGTCAAATTTAATGTCCATATTTAAAAATGGAAAAATAAGCTATTAATATATTTTGAAGAAATTATTATTGTAAAAAGTAGGGATGACTCCTTATATGTTGTTTTTAAAATTTAAATTAACAGATAGATATGTTCATTTTACTAATGAGTAGTTTGAATTTAGAAGAATACTTAATTATTTAAAGATGTTTGTATTTTTAGAGATCTAAGAGTTTTCCAATTATTTTCATAAAGCATCAAAATTAACTAAAGTTTAATATCCAAACTTGCTCATTAATTATTACAGTATTTGTCCTTTTCTTTTTTTTCACGAGGAGTTTTACTACAAAGGCAATATGAGAGTTAAAAATGCAAATTGCTACCTTAGAGACTCCGAATGACTCTTGCTGTTCCAGTATTTCTGGTGAATATATATTTATCTATAGAGCAGAATAGCTCCTTCTGGTATACTCTACAGGGTAAATACATAGTTAGTCTGATCAAAATGTATATAATTAGTTAGAGATTCTTCAAAAGCATTATCATAGCCAATTATGGATATAAACACATCCAATAATAATTTTAATTAACTTTAGAAACTTTATCATATGTTCTATCTCAGACAAGGATGTACATGTACATTTTACATGGGTCGATACAAAGGTGGATACAAAATAAAATGAA